AGTAGCTTTTTCTGTTACAGGTTGCTTAAAGTCCATCTATTCTGGCCGTGTGCTCTCCAGCTGATCACTAACACGGGACAGTGGTGTCAGATTTTCAACCCACTACAATTATTATCAGATGTCATGACTAGATTGAATAGGCATTGTGCGGGGAGAAAATATCTTAATTGCAATATATCAAATATTATGTTTGTTGACCTTTCTTCAATTTAATTTCTGTGGTAATTGATATAGATTGGTTGTTGACTGTTTTTCTTTTACTTTACCATGTTATTAAGAGGTAATGGACCCTTTATTATTTCCACAGGTCATAACAGGTAAATCGAAAGGAGAAATTGATAGGTTTAATAGATTTTTTTCAGATTTCTAAAATATTTCTTTTTAGGTTAGATATAATCATTTATCAGTGGATCTTTAGACAAGCATAATATTTTTTTTGCTTTTCATGGGAATATTTACCAAGAAGAATTTTTTATTTTTTGCTTCTTTGTAGTTTTATGTCTGCGGAAGGGGCAAAAGGCGAGTAGACCATCTTATGTTCACCAAAATTACCTAATTCATATTTAGTTATTATGATTTTATTTTAGTAGCTTTTTGACTAAGTTTTAAGATCAATTACACATTTTTCAAAATCTTTTTTTTATCTCTCTTCTTTGTCCCAAAATATTTTTTTGGGTCCATGTATGATTTACTCTATATCCTCCCTGCCAATTAGTTTGGTCCATATTTATTAAAATGAAAATATATATTAAAAAAAAAGTGTTTGGACTTAAGAAAAATAATACAGACAATATATGGGCCTATTTTTTTTATTTTTTATTTTTACCTTCTTTATCTATTAGATTTTAGTGGAATAAATAATTTTGCTCAAATTTTTTTACCTAGGTCTTTATCAATTTTAATTGAATAATTTTTTCCTAATTTTTTTGTTCTAATTTTGTTTTATTAAATTGTTTTATTTATAATTTTAATGATTATATGTGTAAGTAAATTTTTTTATGGTTACAAACAAATAAAAAAATTATAACTTATTGTTTTATTCATGAATTTTTTTTCAATATAAAAGGGTCCCCATTTCCGAAATTCGCCTTAGGCCCCGACGAACTCAGGGCCGGCCCTGTCCCAAGGCCACCACCGGAAAACTCCATAGCCAACAGCTCCATGGGCCACACCACCGGAAACTCCATAGCTCCAACAGCTCCACCGAAAACTCCACAACTTAATCACCACGCCAACAGCTTCAAGACCCACGTCTACGCTGGTCACTCCCAAGGCCAACCACCCACCTGAACTCCGAACAACTCCAGCGCCTATGCTGCTGCAACTCCCCTGCTGTACTTGACATTGCAGCGCCAATACCAACTGCTGCAACGCCTAAGCTTCTTACTCACACCCACTGCAAATCTACATACCGACCAAACCACCTACCAACCGCCGGAAGTTCACCCCTCAAACTCTCACTCGAAGAGGAACGCTCGAATGAACATCAGACAGATCTGGATCGGCTTCGATACCCATGTTTCCGCCCAAACAAAGCATTGATACATCTCCACCAATCTGAACCAGAGTTCACCCCTCAAGCTCCTACTCGCAAAAGAGCGCACGAATGAAGATCCTGGATGTCCCCTACCTCAGCAACATAGAACACACCTAGGTGGGAAAAATGGGAGAATTGAGTTTATTGAAGGAAAAAACTAACAAACAACGGCGGAAAGAGCTAGGCCAGCCGACCGCCATAGCCAAAGGCGGCGGCCGGCCAGCCCAAAAAGAGGCCTGAGGAGGAGGTTTATAGAGAGAGAGAGAGCTTGAGACTTGGTAGTTTTTTACTTTTTAATAATTTTATAAAGTGGCAGTCAACTAAGAACAAAGTGCTAAGAAAATCACTCCAAGTGAAATAAAGTGCTTGGATTAACACTACCAAGTCACAATGTTGAAGAGCTAGCCACATATACTCTCCTAAATTTGAATGCAAGATTTATCAACCAAAATACATAAGAGAGCTTCCACTCCCTTCTCACTTTAATTAAAGAAAGTGAAAGTTATAGGGAGCCAGGGGCGGTGACATATACAATTTAGTGATATTAGTTGGCCTTAAGTAATTATATAAGAGAGGAAAAATCGATACGAAAGAATAATGTGTAATGAGACGTAGTAAGACAAATCTCTATCCTTTTAAAAAATACTCACATTTATTGCATCATATCTCGAGATTCTTATATAATCTTTATAAGTGTTTTAGGACAAGAGGACAAAGAATGCTTAGCATCATTACCTCCAAAAGCACCTCTTTTTTTTTATTTATTTTTTATATATATTTATTTTAAACACAAGATAATGGTTAATATATTATTTGTTAGATTAGAACGCAAATCACCTGAAATCTTACTCCTAACTTCTAAGTTCCCTCTCCATGATGACTTGGACAGCTGCTCGGATCCTCCAAAAGGACTTAAATACCCGTTTTTGAAAAATTTAGGATAAATTACAAATACACCCCCTCAAGTTTGATTAAAATATGAATCACTTCCTGTGGTTCTGAAAATTACATTCCATCCCTTGAGGTTTATAATTTCATAACAAATTGCCTCTTTTGTTAATAAATCATAACGTTAATTAATAATTTTTAATAATGTTAGAAATATATTTCAATTAATAATTTAGGTAATTTTATTATTGTATAAGAGTGTAATTATGAATTTTATTTTTTTAAATAATTATGTTAAATAAAAAAATTTGACAAGGAATTATTTATAGTTTTTTAAATCAAATAAGGCAATCTATATTTTATGCAAATCTTAAGGGCCTATTTATAATTTACCTTCAAGATGAGTTTAGATGAGGGAAGACGGACGCAGCAAAAAAAGAGTCTCAAGGTTTATGGGCCATCATGATAAATGAATAATAAAAAAAAAAGGTTATGGGCCATAGGAACTCGGAAGCCTATAACAAAGATAAAATTAGGCCCAATCCCAAACCCACCACTTTGAATATATCTAAAAAAATTTCAGAGCTGAAGCTGTGCGGACTTGGATTCGAGGCCCAAGTCCATCGACCACTCTCTCTCTCTGCCTCGCCGACTCCACCATCGCCGAAGGCAAGTCTCTCTCTCTCTCTCTCTCTCTGTGCATTGTTTAGTGTACTATTATGACTCAACTTTAGCTCCTATATTATCTGCATCCTATATACCCATATAATCATTGATCAACAATTCAGTTTTGCAAAACCTTCTTTTGAGTCTTCGAGCTCGGAAAATCGATGCTATGTATTCGAATTTGAGACCACCACTTTGATATGTATAAAACCCTTGGCAAACATCGGCTCATATATCGTGCTCGCATTTCAAACTACGTCAAAACTGGTCTCATTGATCAAGCCATCCAAACGTTCGACGAAATGACTCAGTCAGATTGCAGAGTATTCAGTATCGACTACAATCGATTCATTGGTGTATTAGTTCGTCACTCGCGCTTCGATTTAGCTGAACACTATTACAATGAGATGATCTCACATGGGTTTTCTTTAACTTCATTCACATATTCAAGATTCATTTCTGGGTTGTGTCAAGTTAGGAATTTAGAACTCATTCACAAACTTCTAGATGGCATGGGTAAAATTGGGGCTGTCCCCGATATTTGGGCTTACAATATATATTTGGATCTTTTGTGCTCTGAGAATTTAGTGGATAAGGCTTTAGAGGTGTTGCAGATTATGGTTGAGAAGGGGAGAGAGCCTGATGCGGTGAGCTACACTATAGTCATTAGTGGGTTGTGTAGAGTCAGACGTTATGATACCGCAGTTGAACTTTGGCATTGTATGATTCAGAAAGGTTTTATCCCGGATAGCAAGGCCTGTAGGGCACTTGTTTTGGGTTTGTGTGATGGTGGTAAAGTGGAATTAGCTTATGAGCTTACTGTGGGTGCAATGAAGGGTCAAGTTAAGTTTAGCACAGAAATTTATAATGCACTTATTCATGGGTTTTGTCAAGCTGGTCGGGTTGACAAAGCTCAAGCGATGAAGATGTTTATGAGTAGGAATGGGTGTGAACCTGATTTAGTTACATACAATGTGTTGTTGAATTATTGTTGCAATGAGCTTATGTTTGAGGAGGCAGAGAAGTTGATGGAGAAAATGGTGAGGAGTGGAATGGAACCTGATGGGTATAGCCACAACCAACTTCTTAAAGGCCTTTGCAAAGCCAAGAGATTGGGTAAGGCTTACCTGTTGATGGTGAACAAGATGGAGGCAAAAGGGTTGGTTGACATAGTATCATATAACACAATTATTAATGCACTTTGTAAGGCCGGCCGAACCAAAAGAGCTTATAAGGTGTTTGAGGAGATGGGCCAGAAGGGAATTGCTCCAGATGTGGTGACATTTACAATACTTATAGAAGCTTTTCTGAAAGAAGGCAATTCAAATTTGGCAAAGACGCTTCTCGACCAGATGACAGGGATGGGTCTATTACCAGATCGAGTGCTTTATACTACAATTGTTGATCACCTGTGTAAGACTGGGAGAATAGAGATGGCTTACAGCATTTTCTGCGATATGGTAGAACAGGGAATCAACCCTGATGTAATTTCATACAATGCACTTATAAATGGATTCTGCAAGACTTCTCAAATAAGTGAAGCCATGCTTCTGTACGAGGAGATGCAAACAAAAGGATGCCATCCTGATGAGGTGACTTTCAAATTAATCGTTGGAGGCCTTGTACAAGAAAAAAAGCTTTTGATGGCTTGTAATGTTTGGGATCAGATGATGGAAAAGGGCTTTACACTTGACAGAGATGTTTCTGAGATTCTTATCAAAGCTATCCACTTAAAAGATGCCTCTTGCATGGACATCAGAAATGGTTAGTATCTTATATTGTCTCTCTTCCTGCTTTGTATGTGTTGTGAATGCATTCGTGCATGCTTGCACTTGTTTGCAATTACCAAATTCTGCACAGATAAACAAAAAGAACTAAGAGAAAAAAGAAAGAAAAAAAAAAATGCTAGTTTAAAAGCCTTATTGAGAAATGCTAGAGACCCACAATTTAAGTTCCACGATTCGCCTACAATGACAGGGAAAGGGAGTTGGGCCTTACGTGGTTGGGTTTATGACAAATCAAAAGTTGACACATAAACTGCCATGTCATTGTAGGTACAATTGTGAGATTTAAATTGCGAGCCTCAATATTTTTCCAATTTTGTAACTCTCCTTTTGGAGGCCAAGAAGAGAGAAAAAAGAAACAAATTTGATCAATTATTTTAACACTAAGGAGTTGTGGGCTATGCTCTAAGGGATGGGTCATCAGGTGTTTGAGATGGCTGTGCGGATGTATTAGTTGCATGTGGAAATTTCAATAGAATCATGTATATTATATATATGACTTTTGTTTCAACTAGTTTTCATTGCCATATAACTAAATCATGGGGGTATAGAATTAACTTTATTTTTTAACATTGTAATTGTTGGTATAAAAAAATTCAGGTTGAGATTATGGTATTAGTCTTGGTGCTTCTCTATATACTGCAACAAATTCTGATCAGAAAGTCGTGAAGGATTGGAATGCATCTTTTCAAGCCCATCTAGTAGCAGCTTATTTTGTCCCTCCTGCAAATTGCAGAAAGCAGTCAATCAGGTTTGAGCTACTTTCTTTCCTAAAATATTTTTTGCAGTTTGGTATTTTGCATCAGACTTTTTGTTTTTGCCCTAATTTTCTCCTGCTTATTGAGGAAAATGACAGAAATGATTATTGACATAAAAATGAAAGATAAAGCAGAACTGTGGAGTTTCTACTGTCAAAAAAGTACACTTTTGTTGAAATGCTACATATTTACAGTTGAACTGTGGAAAGTTAGCTGTAATCTTGTTATAGAGCCTAAAAGTATTCAAAATTTCCCCTGAATTAAAAGTTGTGGTTGCTGGGGCAGCACAATTTTTGAAGCATGACCCTCTAGTGGTAAGGGTCATTGCTTGGTGTGACTTAAAGCTTGGTCCATTAGGCATCAAAATGTGGGTTTGAATATGAGATCAACCACTTCATGCACATAAAACTGGAGGTTGCCTTTGTAACCAGTCAACCATTCCACCACCCTTGATTTTGTTTATTTGGCCTTTATTTTTTCAGTTGAAAATTTCAATGTAACAAATTCAACATAGGCACCATATAAAACTGGAGGTTGCCTTTGTAACCAGTTAACCATTCCACCACCCTTGATTTTGTTTATTTGGCTTTTTCAGTTGAAAATTTCAATGCAACAAATTCAACATAGGCACCATATCCAAGTTATGGCTTTCATACGCAATTATGAAATTCTAGACTTATTCTCCTATTTGTTTGGATTATTCCTAGCAAATTAAATGTTCGAATGTTGAGCTGTAGTGCATTTGATTCCAGCAACTTTCACATATGTTTTCATTGATGAACTCAGGTAGGTTCCATCATTGGTTGTTGACGTCTGAAGCTAAACATCATAACTTATTTATGTTGAAACAATTCATTTCCACCGTGCTAAAGCATCATCACAATACACGGGGATGAGTTTAGTTTATTATAGATCTTTGCTTAAGAGTGGTTAGAATGGATGACTTGTAAAAGAAAATCATTACAAAGGCTGGTTAACGTAAAGTTTTAGTGGATTTCCAGTGGCAAAAGTGTATAAAAGCTTTATAAAATGTTTATAGTAGAAGAATATGGTCTCTAATACCCTGGATGGTATAGAAGGAAGGTTAATCTTAGAAATGGTTTAATGAAACTCAGAATCATAATCTTTGCAACACTAAGATTGATAATTTGTTGATTACAAATTCTCTGACTCTTCTGAATGAAAAATACGGATTCTTTTGGGTTTTCTGTTACTGGAAAAATTCTGACCATTGTTATCCGCATACTTCAATAATACAGGGAACAACATTGCAATTATAATGATGTGTGCCTTAATTAATTGATCCGAAAGACTTCAGTTCTTTATGTTATTTTTTAGAACAAATCTTCTGTATTGGATCATCCTATGTTACATAGACTCGGGTATGGGTGTCGGGTGTTATAAATTTAAGGGTACGCGGACTCGGAAAAAAAATATTATATTTTTATATTTTTAATCTAATATGTGAGATAAAATGGTACTATATGTAACTTATAGTGTCAAAATGACTTTTATAGTAATTATACAATAATATGCACATATAATAATTGTATTATATACAATTATATAAGTATCTGTTGAAAAGTATCCGACACATATCCCATACCCTTGTCCGAGTGTCGGGTGTCCGACACGGGTATTTGATTTATTTTGAAGAGTCCGTGTAACATAGGGATCATCCCATATACCTAACTGAACAGGAACCAGTAGACGCAAAGTAAATACGTAGTCATTTCCTGGGCCTTTGATTTGTGCCACAGTTCATTGGTGAGATAGGTGCATGCTATTTTGTGCTCATGGATTCAACATCAAGTGTTGCATCTGGACCTGTGTACATTATTAAATTTATCATCTAGCATTTTGATGCAAGATAGATAATCAATAATTCTGTTGTTACAGATCCATTTGTCCACTTTTGTAATGTGACCCATTCTACAATTATTTTGGGTGGATTATTTCCTTTTCATTTCCTCTTGATAAATATAGTCGTGTGGTTTGGCTTATAATTTTATTCAGTGTATGTTATGAACCTGGAAAACTTTTCGTGTGTTCATGATGCAGGACTTAGCTCTCTCTCTCTCTCTCTCTCCTTTACATGACAATGAACTTGACTAATATGCTTTGTCACTTAATATTCTTAGGTATGCGTTAAGGCCTCTCTACTTGTCTCAGGCATATCCTCAACTCTAGCTGCTGTTGTTGAGAATGGGTGTGCAAAGAGAACAACTTTTGATCAATCCAAGCGTAAATCCAGTTGCAGCGGTATGGTAATCAGATCTTAGTGTGTTGACTTTTGTTTTGGTTTTCTTTTTTCTTTTGTTTATTTAGTTTCTGGCCTGAAGCGCAGGGAGGGAAGAAAAAAAATGAAGTTGCACACAGATGTGCTAAACACCACAAAAGATTATTCTTAAAATTTGATACAGAAGAAAGGGAACGGAAATGAAGCAGAGATCCTTACTGCAACCTACATAGCTGTTGTATTTGGTGGACATCATCATTGAAGACAGTTTCATATCCCAAAAGATTTGAAGAGTGAATTTTTATATGCAATAATGGAGGTATAATCTCCTAGATGAACCCCCACAATAGTTCTGTACGATGACACACAGAAATTCACTTCCTAAGGAAATTCTTGATCAGAGTCTCAACTAGTCCATGGGTGACTTAAGAAGTGCTAAAGCTTCAAATGATTGTTGACCCTGATTTGCACATTAGATCATTGTATTTGTACCTTTTTTTTTTTTTTTTTTTTAAAAAAAAAAAAAAAAACTGTGAAGCCGTTGAGTTAAGAAGCGCTCTCCTTCCCCGAAGTAGGAAAATTTAGATTTATTTTGTATTACATGTTTCCATAAAGTGATGAGCTGATTTTTGTATTCAATAATAGTTGAGGGGTAAAACTTTATTTAGTGGACAAATTTTCTTGATATATATATACATTATATATTGATAAATAAATATTATATACACCAAGCATCAGAATACAGTGGGACTAATGTATCTCACAGACCCAAAACTGGAAACTTCATATTCACCCTTCCTTTGGCAACAGCACTAGAAAAAGGTGTCACTAAGATTACTTGCCTCCAATGCTTACCTAATGTCTGATTCTTTGCCTTTCCTGGATCCTTCGGACTTGAACTTCTCATCAAAGTCATTCTCTTCCTCCTAAAACAATTAACCAATTCTCCTCCCATTCACCATTTATCTCTTCACCATCCTAACCACCACCACCAGACTTCGATGTCTCGCCACCGCGAGAGCAACCCTCATTTTGATCCTTCACAACTACCTCAGCCACCAGTTCGACACCCCCAACAACCACACCTTGTCCCCACCACCCATTCTCCCCCACCACGACATCCACACCTTGTATAGTAGAAGAATATGGTCTCTAATACCCTGGATGGTATGTGTTCCAACCCCCCATTCTCCTCCACCGCGACAACCACACCATGTCCCCACCCCCCCTGCTGCTCCGCCGCGACGAGGTCGCCGACAAAAACAGCCTCCTCCGCTACAACTCAGCCCCACCGCTGGTAGTTTTCCTGTACACCAACAACCACAACATCAAACTCAAAAGCGGCCGGAGGAACATTATCCCTTACACCCAATATGGCCACCGGATCAAACCCAACACCTTCAACCACAACATGAGCCTGCGGCACCTATAAGCCAAACACGGCCACATCATCCAACTCAACCTGTCCAACCACAGCATCCAACTCATCAACAGGTCCACGTCCAGCCACCACCACCACACTACCGCCCACCAGACTCATCTCCAAGACTGCCACGACGACACAAAACCCGGCCTCACACATGGCTGATTGGAGTGTTCTGTGCACTTTTCTGGATCGCTGTGATCCTGGGAGGCGTGGTGGTTCTTATAGTCTACATCCTCTTCCGCCCTCGAAGCCCAAAATTTGATGTGGCGAGTGCCTCCCTCAACGCAGCCTACCTCGACATGGGTTACCTCCTCAATGCCGACATGACTTTTCTCGCAAACTTTACCAACCCAAGCAAGAAGGCAACTGTGGACTTCAGTTACATGTTCGTTAACCTTTACTTCCAAAACAGACTCATTGCCACCAGCTTCGTCGAACCTTTCTCAGCGTTGAAGGCAGAGTCGAAGTTCCGGAGTGTTCACCTTGTGAGTAGCCAGGTTGGTCTGTCTTCAGGACAGAGTCAGCAGCTTCAGCAACAGATAGCGAACAACAGAGTGAGGTTTGATGTCAAGGGTGTGCTCAAAACAAGGTCTAATTTGGGTAGTCTGTTTCGGTACTCGTATCGGTTGTATGGTCATTGCATCATTGAGGTCACTGCCCCTCCTAGTGGGATTTTGGTGGGTAAGAAGTGCACGACAAAGCGTTAAAAGAATAGTTCTGCTACATACACAAAAAAAATTCCGCACTGAAGAGAGATGAGAGTGTGGATCACTTACGAATGGACCCTTCTAATATGGTTTATGTTGCCCATTCATTTACTTATTTTTGTTTTTGAATTTTTGGAATACATTAAGAACAGATTGATGTGACATTTACTTTTTATTTTATTTTAAATAACAACTATCTTAATTGATCTTTTGCTTTAAAAGATATGTAACATCACTCTTTCATTATTGATTTGATTGGTGAGTTTTGCAATGAAATTGAAATTATTCCCCGTAATAATTTAGTCGCTGTTTGTCAACTCAAGTTGGAGCTACCGTAGATACATACGACAAAACATGCTACAAAAGCACATAAGGACAAAATCAGATCGTGTGAGTGTTGAACCACATATGGTTGAATGTAAAATTACCAAAGTACCCACTAAAGCAGATCAATCAATACACAGTTGTATAGGCAAAGGATGACTAGGGCACACAAGTTCACAAAAGAAGGCGACGAAGCAGAAGAATGGAAGAGGAGGGCAAACGAAGTCGATCGAACCACAGATCCAGGTCAACACCGCTTCCAAAACGCCGCGAGCATCGTCTAGTCATGCCATCCAAGTCTGTTTGCATCTCTAATACGCATAAATCGATTTCTTTTGGGGGTTTCCTCTTCTTGCACCAGATCTTACTTGTGTGTTATATGTATGTTGAAAACCCATCCTTGTTGTGAAGCCTTTGTTGGAATATGCTTTTGTTGGTGTCATTGGAGTCATGAAATCCGAAATTAGGGCTTCAATTTTGAACTCCATTGTATGCCTGTTGTCACGCCCCGAGAATTTCTGTGACACGAGGAGCAGTATTTGAAGTGGCCAAATGTGCTAGAAGGTTCCGGAAGGAGCAAGAACGGGCTAGAGTATGCTGGAAGGCTCTAGAACGTGGTGGAAGGGTCTAGAGTGGCCTTGAAGATTCCAGAATGTGGAAGAACCTTGAAGTGTCCAGAGGAGTCTGGATGGGTCTGGAACATCCTAGAATATCCTGGAGAAGCCTACCATGTGCTACACTAGTGTAAGAGAATTCTAGATTGTAGTAGAAGGGGTAGTTGTCCTAGATAGTTCTAGGGAGAGTTCTAGATGAGAGTTTGTAGCCCTTGGATCAAAATGATCCTAGCCGTCCATTAGGGAGGAGGATGGCTATATAAGGGTGAGGGGTCTCATTTGTTAGGCATCGAATGCTGGAGATCCAAGAGAGCTCTAAGAGTGAAACACTTGTGAGTGAAAGTGTGAGTGTGAGAGCCTTGTAAAGCTTTGTACACGACTATACTTGTAAATTCAACTTGTATAGTGAAGGCATTTCTGCCACCTAAACTTTGTGTTCAAGTTAGTGTGGTTGAGTGGTAAGGCTGACTTAGGTGCAACCAAGAGGGTTGAGAGGCATCTAAGGCCGCACGGTAGGCTTGTGAAGTCTAAGTCCGTGACACTGTGCAGCAACCAGTTTGTCGACTAAGATGTTCAAAAATCAACAACCAATTTCTCCACACAAACCTTTTTTTTCCTGATTTTTTTGTACAAATTTCCTTAACTATTATTTTTGGTTTTTTTTTTTTTTGTTACCTAGGTAGGCAACCTATGAGGGGGGATGAATTGGGTAATTAAAAAATATGAGTAGAAAATTGATTGCAATTAAACAAGTAAATAAATTCAGCAAGCAATCAATTATACCGGTAGTAGATTAGAAATGGAGAAGAGCTGAAACACAAAGATTTATAGTGGTTTGGCTCACCGGCCTACGTCCACTCCTCAAGGTATCTCCTTGAGAATTCCTCCACTATGAATCGAATCAATACACCACCGAGCTTTACCTAGCTTGTGGATTTTTAAACATGACTTATTTTATCTGTTGACGACCTCTTAACTAAATGTCTCACCTTACAAGTGTTTCACTCAGAAATAAGGAAATAAGAATAAGAAGTACAACTATCATCTTTTACAGAATTTTTCTCTTAAAAGATAAATATGAAAGTGAAGGAGCAGAAGGATTTTTGAATACACTCAGATATGAAAGTGGAAGTATAATAGAGTATGATAAATGAAAGTTATTGAATGCTCAGATTTTCTGTGTTGGAGAGCGAGTGCTTTCAGATCTGGAGAGCTTCTTCCATTATAGAATTAATGGCTTCTAGCCGTTGAAGAGAAGCATGATGAGTCTTCTAGCTGTTGGAGAAGATCATGGATGATATCTTCTAGTTGTATAGAGCAGGGCATAGGTGATATCTTCCAGTCGTAAGGAGCAGAGCACGAGTGTGCACAGGCTGTCATCAAGTCTTTGGAAGTGGAGCCTCATTAAATACACAAACTCATAAGTCAAATCTTGGAAATTGGTAGAAGAAGATATTGTGTCATAAAAGTCTGCTTATAGATCAGAAATGATGGCTATTCTATGCATAGATTAGAAAAAGTGGCTAGATTTGAGTTGTGTCAAAATAGATTTGATTGGGCGGCTGGGTTTTTTGAAACCCAGATTTAAGGGTGTCGACCCCTGTAGATAGGGTGTCGACCCTTTGCTTCTCTTTGCTTCTCTATGTGATTTCCAAGTGTTCCTGGTGTCGACCCTTTCGTAACTAGGTGTCAACCCTTTATTTGCTGGAAGTCTGAATGTATACTGAAATTTAGTATCGACCTTTATCATTTTTGGTGTCGACCCTTACTGTTAGATTTTCTGAGCCTTGTATACTGAAATTTAGTATCGACCCTTGTCATTCTTAGTGTCAACCCTTGCTGTTGGATTGTCTGAGCCTTGCATACTGAATTTTAGTGTCGACCGTTGTCATTCTTGGTGTCGACCCTTGGTAGCTGCAACACTTAGGCATTGTGTACTTCATTTTGGTATCAACCCTTGCTGTCAACCCTTAGACCTTACAAGTGCTACATGTTTTTGAGGTACCAATATTGATGAGAAATTGACAATTTTGAAGCATTTATCTATTAGAGACAATGAAGAGCAATGATATAATATTATTTTGAAAACTTTGAATAAGAAAATGAGTTCAAAATATTATTCGATAATCAAAATCAATAAGAATTTAAATTCAAGTAACCTTGGGACTAACATTTTTTTTCCCACTTCGTAATGCAACGAAGAACAAAACAAATTTTTGCTTCCGGCTATATTGTTTTTTTTGTATGCGTTATTATTGTTTTTATTTTTATTTTTTTTAATTTTAGCTTTCCAAAATCCATATAACAGGTTTTTGGTTGCAGGGTACAACATGAACTATTATTGTCCCTATATATATATATATATTTTACTACAGTTCGTAATGTAACCAATGCATATCAGTTTGTTTTTTTTTTTTTTCTTTCTTTGATATGCTTTTTCGTATGTTGTAAATTTTTTACATTAGTTTTTTCCAAAATCCATATCACTAGTTTATTCTTTAATTTTTTTTTTCTTGTTATGCATTTCCTACTACAACCAAGATCCAAATGCTTTTTGTAATACAACCAACAAATTTATGCTTTCGGTCTTTGATTTTTTTTTTAATTCATTTAACAAGGCACTCTGTTGTCTAATTTATTTTTACAAATGTTCATATAAATTTCTTCGACAGGCTTCATTTTTGCAAACCTAGATTTCTTCCGAAGCCATTTGCTAATTCAAAAACCAAGTGCTCAAGCCATTTGCAATTTGATGTAAAGTGTAGGTTACACTGCATTTATTTGTTTATAGAAAGACCATTGTTACATAGGTTAAGCAGTATTCTTTTACAGTGCAAACTACTTTTACAAACAAGTGCCACAGAACGACAAGCATAAATTTTTCCAACATTGGAAACCAGTGTTACCTTACAAACCAGTATTCATTTTTGTTACATAGGTTTTGCCAAACCTGTTATTTGTCATGTTAGGAAAATGAATTTTATTGACTGTAACCTTGCTAATCAATTAGGTTTTGGTCATTGTGTAATTTGTCATTTTTTTTATCTTACAAGTGGTGATGAAACCACTATTTGTTAGAAGTGATGATGAAACCACTTAGGTTCAGTGGCATCATGCATCTCATGAGTAAAGTGTAGGCCACACATTCCTATCCATTTCCAAATATAGCCATATATTTTTGTTTTCCATGTTTAATACATTCATATGACTTATGTTTAGGACACTCATATCTACATACTACATCCACGTTTGGTTTTCATGTTTCCTTATTTTATTAGACACATACCACAAGAAATTTGTATTTGTTTGGCGCCCAATTTCATAAACACATGCTTATTTGGACACATTGACAATTATAAAACGAAAACACACTGTCATATGCCTTGTCTTGTTCTTGCACTCTTATACGTTACAAAACAAAGTATAACTTCTTTTATGTCAACTGGCACATCTACTACATGGCCACGTCGCATGTGTGCTTGTGGTTATGGTTAATGTCTTGTTAAGATTTCGAGATCTCACAAAAATCCAGGACGTGCTTATTACAAGTGTCCTTGTCTTGTGGTGAGTACACCCTTTATTTTCGGTGATAAATTTCATTTCATCTGGACCAGTTAACTAATACATTTGTAAAAAAATTTCGTCAACCATGTTTAAGTTGGATTGGTTGGTGCGACGAACCCAGGAGACAGAACACCGAGTATGACTCCGCCACTAACAACATTGTCATGCACTTACGGGATGATGTCATTCACATTTAAAAAACGCTGTGAATCTTGAAAACCATTGTTTCTGTGTTGTGCATTGTAGTCGTAATTTTGTTGTTGTGTATGTAAAACTGATCCAAGTTTAGTAGCACAGTTGCAAAGCTACGAATGTAATGACTTATGTTTGTTGTGGACTTGCTGGCTTTTTGCATGACATGTAATGTATGTGATTTGGAGCTACATAACTGTTTGTCTTCATTAGTACGTAATATTTTTTGTGTTATGTCACAATGCCTACTCTATTTTATTGAGCAAATAGGGTTGGGTGAGTAGTACGTATACATATATAAATTGGGTACTTACGCTTTCATGTATCCATGCATAGTCGTTATGGCTTCCACACATACTTCACCACGTACAACGTCGAAAAATAAAGGGATTGCAAGGGGTGGACCAATCGTTATTGACGACATAGACCATGTTTACAAAGATGTGTGGGATACTGAATCCACAAGGATTTTCTTAGAGCTTATTTCCGATGAGATTATTGGGGGAAACCGCCCATTTATGGTTTTGAGCACCGTTGGGTACAAGTCATTGGCGAAAAAGTTTGAAAAAAAAGAGGCAGAAAACATGATGTCAAATAATTG